TTTTTTTAAAAAAAGGATGTTCTTTGATGTTTGATCTTTGTAGGCTTTCAAGCTGCAAGGAGATTTTAAGGCTACACTAAATATTGGTCTCCATCGTCACATACAGGGTTCGTGCCCTTTCTGGGACCCGGACTGTTCCCATAGTTTCTTTTATAAAAGACAATACACATATTTAAATAGCCCCTGCTCTGGGTCTGTGGGCTGATCACTCGTGTGTGGGATACACCGTGCCCAGGTTCTCCGGAGTGGGACGTTCAACCTTTTAAATTAGGGAGAATTATTCCCATCAGTATTACTCTTACAACAGTGAATTAACATTTTGTTTTCCTGAACACCACTGTGCAGCTGTAAATGCTTCTTCAACTTAATTTCTTTATGTATTCTCTTGCCTTTTCTCCCTTGTTGGTGTGATTTACTCACGTTTCAGGATTTCCAGCATTTAGATCTCTGACACACAGTATCACATACTGACTTTCAATATCCAGTTGAAGGATTGCTTCTTCCAAAGGAAACCATTCTCTCTTTTTTGTCTGCCCACAGCTGATGACAGTCAGTCCAACACTCCAGCACTTGGCCATATGAAGGGAGAAGAAGCAGGTGCTCAAGTTAGAAATTTCTATTTTCTTTTCTCTTTTCCCCTCACAAAGTGGCTTATGCACCCACATATAGACAAGTTGGTCTCCCCGACCCCCTTTAGCCTGGAGGTGCCTCTAAACTGGGGCAGTGGTTACCTCTGGTTCTGTTATTTAGATGTCCAGGACAGAGACGTGCCTGGTGCTGAGTCACTTGGGTGGTTTTGACAGTTTGCTCCTGTTTGCTCCAGTAACAATCCATGACAGTGTATCTGGACACCCAAGCAGTGCTCACGTTTGAAACCAGTGGGATTTTGCTGCCAGAGCAATTTCCATCTCCATGCACGAACCTCCTGCATTTCCATCATCTCCTTTAACACCGTGAAAACCACACATTCTAAAGGAAATATAAATTCAAATATTTTTAGGATTTTTTTGATTTAGATGCTGAAAAGAACTGCAAGTGAGTCAACACTACTGTAACTTCCCAGCTGTGGAGCTGCTCCCTCATTTCCTCAGGGTCCCACAGACACAGCACCCAGTGCCAACAACACCAAAGCTGGACTGTAAGACTTTATTTAGGATTCCCTCTAGACATGTATGTTCCTCAAATAAATAGTATATAAATAAATAACTTGAAATTCACTATGCAAAGCCGTAAAGCACTTGAGCGTTTGTTATCCCCTTGACAGAGCATTAACAGTTTGAATGGATTTAACAGTGTACCCAAATAAAATTCACGTTAGGAAAAGCCAGCTGCCCCTGCATTTGTGTGGGCACCTGGAGCCCAGGGGAGCAGTGGCAGAGCAGCTGCAGAGCACAGAACCCCCTCAGCCGCTGCTGCCCTGGCCCTCCCGCTCCCTGTAGGCCTTGTTGAGCAGCTGGATCTCCTCCTGGTGCCCCGTGCCCACGTGCTGCCTGCTGCTGCTGCGATGGCCCTCCACGGTGTCGGGGATGGAGATGCTGATGTCCCTGCCGGGGCTGTGGCACGGGATGAACAGGGAGTAGGAGGCGCTTTCCCCCAGCTCGCAGGACACAAACCTGTTCTCCCGCCGTGAGTAGCGCAGGGAGGGGGACCTGGCCTGGGTGGAGGACTGGCTGATGTTGCTGATGATGGACACGGTGTCCAGGGCCTCCTCATTGTCACAGATCTCCAGCACCTCCAGATGAATCTTAACGTTGGTGTGAGGGGACCCCTCCGGGCTGGGCTCGTGCCCGACGCTCTTGGACCGAAACACCTCGATTTTCTTGGCCATGGGGGTGATTTTGTGCCCGTCAGAGCTCACCTCGTACGTGGATAACGAGAGGGTCTTCCCGGTGGGAGCCTGCAGAGACACAGTCCCTTGGAAGGCACACAGAGGGGTGGCCAGGGCCCCGCCCGAGCGCTGCAACACAAACAGGGACCGTCACCTGAGGCCAGGGTTTCAAGTCAGAATCCATTGTAAATAAGCCAATTATGCTCAGTTTGTTAATTTATTTTACTGCCTTTTCCTTGCACAATTTTAGATACCTGGTACTTATGACTTGAAAGAGCAGAAAGAAGTTACACGCCCTAGTATAAAAAGTGAAGTCCCAAGTGGCTGTGACTCAATAGGACATCTACAGAATATGAAATAAAAGCTGACTCCTTCAGTGCAAGGTCCTGCTTAATAAACCACTGTGGATTTGTCAGGCTGAACAGCAGGAAGATGGAGGGGATGTCTGAGGCACCTGCAGGGAGAATGAGCAATCCTGACACACTGCGATGAACACGCCAGTTCTGCAGAATAAGACATTTCCCAATGATTTAGTGGCTCTTTCCAAAAGTCTGTTTTCTCTTGAGAAATCAGTATTTACTGTTAGAAGTGAAAAAGATGCGTCAAGTCCTCCACATCACTGTGCAGTTACTGACCAGGGAGGCAGTGAACTCCATCATTTTCCACTAGAACAATTCCAGTAGAAACACTGCTCAATTCCAGACACCTTCACCTGTTTCTAAAGCAGAGAATTCACCTGTCCCTGCAAACTGTGCCCAACAACACTGTGCTCTGGCTCTGGGGCCTGGACACTGCAAGCAGGAACCAGGCACAAAGGTAAAGAGTTTTGTGAAATAAAACAAACCCTGTCTTTTCAACCAAAGTGCCATTCTGCAGCTTTTGTGTCTTAGCAGTTTTGCAACAGATCAGACACACAGAGATCATCACCAATAATCCTAAATAAAATGAACAACTTTCCCTCCAACTCCAGCATTAAGCTTGTTTTCTCCCTCAGTTCCAGCAGGACTGGCAGCACAGCACAAGGACACCCCAGGCTGGAGGACATCATCCATCCCACACCAGGGTGGTATCCATGGCAACTCCACGGGCCAAGGGAGCCTTGTTCTGATCCTGGGAAGGGAAGACTTTTCTTCCAGAGACCTCACTCACTCTCGGCCAGGAGAGCTGAAGGAAGGATCAGACACTTCTCTGCTTCAACACAGCAGATTGAAAATTCACTCTGTTCTGGTTCTTCCTCCACTTACAGATACTTTTTCCCTGCACATCCACATACACAGATACCTACAAGTATTTATTTATTCATTGTACACATGCATGTGTATGTGTGTGTGTGTATATATATATATATATACACACACACACACACACGAGAGAAGCTGTGGCTGCCCCATGCCTGGAAGTGTCCAAGGCCAGGTTGGACAGGGCTTGGAGCAACCTGGGCTAGTGGAAGGTATCCCTGCCCATGGCAGGGGTGGGACTGAATGGACTTTAAGGTCCCTTCCAACCCAAACCATTCTGGGATTCTATACAGTATTTACCTTTTAACAATTAATTTCTTGATTTCTGGCAGTGTTGAAAGGTTTCCATTTGGAAATGCTCAGATGTTTCAACTAACAAAATCACAGCATTCTGCACACAGACCATTCTGGAAGCCAAAATCACTGTCTTTCTGTAGAGGCCAACTTGAACTGAACACCCCAAAACATGAGCCAGGACCCCCTGAGCTGCAGCCCAGCACTGCCTGGGAGCTGTGCCTCTGCAGGGCTGGGCTGTGCAGCTCTGCAGCACAGACACAAAGCTGCCAGTCTAAATGTTGCCTAATACACATCATATATAATAACAATATACATATATTCATCCCTTGGGAATGCTGAAGGATCTCCAAGGCCGTGCTGCTTCCTTTCCCTCCTGGCCCTTCCCTCGCTGAGTTTCCCCGTTTGTGGAGATTTGTGTCCATCCTGTCCCATCCCAGGACATCCCCCTGTGCAGCCCCTGCCCAGAGAATGTTCTGTCAGAAGCTGGGACAGGGATTTCACTGGAGAACTCCATGTACCAGCACATGCATTCCTAACAAGCAAGGACAAAAAATCCCAACGAAATAAATCACAAATGTCCCTGTTCCTTGCGGAGTGCTGCTGCATTCTGAGCAGAGAAATCTCTGCATAATTGATAAACAGATCCTTTCATTATTTAATTACATTATCCACCTGCCAGATTTCACAGAAGACAGGAGGCAGCTGCAGCTGCCACGAGCCAAAACCTTCCTCATCATTACTGTGGGTCAGGACTGGGCTCCCCTGCCCCATTCCAGTTCCCTGAGCAGAGCTTAGCCTGGATTCACCAAGGACAGTATTGTCCCTAGGGAAGGATATTGTCCATAGGGAAGGACACTGTCCATGGGGGAGGCTCCTGACCCATCCAAGCCCCACAGCAGCTGGGAATGCCCCTGGCAGAAAGGTTTCCTTTTGGAAATGCCCAAAGCAGTGAGGGAGGGCCCACCAAGAGCCATCTGGCTTAGTTTTTAAATTATCCTAGAAACAGAATCCAGAAACTCTGTGGCCTTTCCTGCATAGAAAAAAAGTTCTTGATCCCGATGGCTTTCCTGAAGGGGGAGGGAAGGGGAAGGAAAGGGGAGAGAAAGGGGAAGGTAATTTTTGCAGAATCTGTTCTTGTGTTTCTCCTTGCAAACCGGCAGAAACCAAAGAACCCCACCCTTTTCTGCCTGGTTTGCCATGAAACACTTATAATTACATCAAATATTAATAAAGGATATTAAGCTGCCAAATACACATGAAAATCTTAATTTCCTCACTTGCCAAAGCAGAGCCTGACTCTCCCTGCTGGGAAGTGCCTCCCAAGGGTGTGTGGCATTCCCTCTGCTTCCCTTTGGGGGCTGCAGGAGCCCATCAGTAACCTGCAGAGCTGGGGGCTTACTGGAAAAGGAATGTGACTGCAGTCAGCTTTGAATTCTGCTTGTGGTGTGTTCACAGGTGATGTTCAGAACCATTTCAAACTCTAGTTTACAAGTGATGAAGAGTTTATTCTGCTGGAGGAAGCCTGGCCATCCTTTAAGGCTGACATTAATATTTCTAATACCAAACATTTTGACACACTTTTCACGTTATATTAAGTGTAACTGGATTCATCCCTGTTCTAAGGACCTTAAACTCAGTAGTCCAATTTCTCCAGCACTTAGCACCTACAAAGACCATCATCCAGGCTGGATAAGCACACAGTTCCTGGGATTTCCTGGAATTTTTTTATTTCAGGGAGCAAATGACTGCAGAGCAGGGAAAGAAAAGCATGAACAGCTCTAATCTCCAACCATGGTGATCGATCAATCCTCCATCTCCTGAGAGCAAAGCTGACTCTGTGTCAGGTGGATCCTTAGCTGGGTAATGCTTGGTAACAACTGAAATCAGAAATAAACTGTTCAGAGCCACACGCCCTGGGTGGTGGCTCCCGTAGCTCCCAGCTCAGTTTGATTTTAAAGAGAATAAACTGCTGTTGAAACAGTGAAAGTCAATGCAGAAACAAAAGCTTAACTGGGGTAAGAAAGGAAATGCCTACAGCCTAGAATGCCTACCCGATGGGGGGGAGAAGAAAAATTGTTTGGAGGCCACTCCAGTGCACCTGGGCAGGAGCTGCCCCCCCGACTGAGCTCAGACCCTAAACTGCTGCCCAGACAGGGTTGTGTGGTGCCATCAGAGATGCCCTAGAGGATTCAGGATGTCCTCAGAACACCTTTACATATAACAGGGGACTGATGGGAGACCTACAGCCTCCTGGAGCAGCAGCTGGAGGCCAAGTGGGACATCCTGAGGCACCACAGCTGGTTCTACCTGTGCCTGGTGAGGGACTCAAGCACAAGGTGCTCTGCAGACCTTCCCTCACCATCCCTAACTTCCTCACAAATCACAGGCCCTGGAATAAGGAGACAGGTGTGACATCAGTGTCAGAGCCAAGCACAGGTGACACTGGAGTCTGTGTCTCTGGCAGAGGCAGCAGGCCCTGGGGTGAGGTCCCAGAGGGACTGAGGGCACAGTGGCAGCCCCAGAGCTGACAGGGGTTGCTGTGTCCCATGTCACCCCCACCGGGCCATTCTGCCTCCCCAAACACAAAATCCAGCAAGCTGAAGTCAGCTCCAAGGAGTCTGCATTCCTGATTACTTTGGTGAAACACAGCTTGAGCTGAAAAGATCTATTTTTAGAATGTTTCCAGTAAGGATCCCAATGTCTCTTTCCAGAGACAATGAATTTTCTGTTTGTTTTAAAATAGAAGCTTAGTCTTCCACTTCCCTAAAAATTAAAATTGGCTGCAGTGAAATTAATTACTGCAATGATTTGCCTCTTCAGAGGCTGACTGCAGTAAATGCAGAGCCAACAGGCTATGACAGGAACAGACAAGCTCACCTCAGGTGACCTGAGCCCAGCACCTGCCATTGGCCTGCCCAGTGCAGACAGACTTTTATTTATATGGACCAGGAACAGAAAGTGCAACAGAGCATCCAGGTAAGGTCACCTGCATCTCCAGGCCAGAGCTTCTGTACTCAGCTGTCTGGGGCTGAAGGGACTGAGGTCAACAGAAAGCCCTGCAATATTTCACAAACAATTCCCCCCTGGCACCCTTAGTGAACCCCTGTGGGTGCAGCTTGGACACAGCTCAGAGGGATCTGGATTTGAGGCTGCTCAGGTAAGTCCAGGGCTCTCCTCCTTCCTGGGCTTCATGGGAGTCCTCTGCCTGTGGTGGGTACAGAAATGAGAGCTTGGCACGTCTGGCCCAGCTCCCTCGGTCACTGCTGGGACAGGAGAGGATCTGCTGACACTCCTCTCTCCTGTAACCCTATGGAACTGGGCCTCACCCTTTTCATCACACTCCATGAAGTTCATGTGACAGGTACTGCCAGTCCTGCAAAAAGGTTCTGGGTGCCTCTGCCAGCATCACACCACGAGCTGTCATGCGAACTTAAACCAAGTGGTGGGTTTGCTTACCAGGAAAATACAATGCAGAAAACTGTGATGAAGAACAGCACAAGCCTTTAAAAAACAAGCCCTTATCAGCCTGGACTGTAATGGTTTATGGGCAGGTGTCCCAGTTGTCCTGTAACTCCCAGGCCATTAAGTGGCATTAGGGACAAGGCACAAGGGCCCCTTGGACAGCGGGATATCGACTTTACCTGAGGCATGGTCTGTTCTCTCCCTTCACATGGAGCACACACCCCTCTGTCCCATGGGGAGCGAAGCCAGGAGATGATGGTGAACTGTTACATTGATTTTCTAGCCACAGGAGCCTCCTTGGAAAGCAGGAACCAGGTTCCAAGCACCACGTTCAGGAAGAGCCCCGATGGGAACAGCAGGGCAGAGCATCAGCTGCTGGTACAGATGGACCAAAGAGAACCTGCAAGGCCATTCCTGACTGAGCTTCTGTGCTGTGCCTGATGTTTGCTGCAATGTTCACAACTTTCCTGGAGTGAGGGACATCCTGAGTATTTATCATGTCAAACAAACTTCTCCTCCTCACAGAAGTCACTTACACAGCCTCCCCCTCTTTCCCTGCAGGGCACAGAAAGAGGTTCTGTACAGAGTCTCTTCAAAGAGTTTGCTTGAGGCAACCCTCAGATGAGGTACTGAGTGAGAGAGAAAAAACAAGCAAGCCTGGAACACACTGCCAGCCTGGAGATTTGTGTTGCCTGAAGGCACTTAAGTGCAGGCAAAAAAGACATGATATATTTACACTCCATCTCCTTAGGAAGGGAGATACATGGGTATTTTATGAGATGTTAAAGGTATTTTTTCAAAAATGCAGCCGAGCAGAGTTAGAAATGACAAGTACCATTTTCTCTCTCCCTCTCAATTACAGCCACTCTCCACAGGTATTAAATAAACTCTGCTGCCTCATTCTCCCTCATGCCACTTCTGTTCCAGAGAAATCACTTGGATGGAGTAACTCTTTACTCACAGAACAGACAATGAGGAGACAACCAGCTGTGACATGAGTATTATCACCCCAAGGAAGGGCCACCCTCCAGGGCTTCAGCAGGAAACCAAAGCATCCCACGTACTGCCTGACACCCTGCTCTTCAAACAGCCCAACCAAACTCACTGGCACCTTCCCCCCGCTTATTTACGGTCTGAAAACAACAGAATACAAAATACTGCTTTCCCAACACAAAGAGACTTCCCAGCCCTGGTTTCCCTGGAGCAGCTGAGGCAGGGGAGCCGTGCAGGGCAGCTGGACAGGCCACCCCTCCCAGCTGGCTGGGAATTGGGCACGGGAGGACTCATCTACCACATCACCCAGGAGCTGAGCTGGGCAGCCAAGTTCCTCCTCCTCCTGCCAGTTCTTACAGGTTGTCCTAGTGAAAAGGAAGCTGGAAGCACTCTGGTAACGACACCTGTCTCTGGGTACCCTCTAAGAACCCCTGTACCTCCTGCAGAAGGACATGGCCACTCAATGCCAGGGACAGACTCCTTTTTTAACACACGTGAGAAATGCAGTGATGAGAACAAAGTGACTTTTCTCAGACACTTCAGGACATCAGACAGGATGAATACCAGGATGGTTTACAACTGATTTAACGTGTGGCACAAATTGATCTTTTATTCACCATGCACCTGAGCAATGCAATGAAGTTTTTTTTACCAAGCTTGCTGGGTTTCACACCCTGCCCTTTCCCAGCAGCAAAGCAAATGTCAGCTGTGAAGCTCTGGCAGCTCCTGCTGAATGTCAGAACTTGGGAGAGCTGTGACTCCAAAGCCTGAACTTTCACCCCACAGGAGCCTCAGTGCCTGGGAACTGCACACAGGGTTATACCTTGGGAAAGGTCAGAAAACGATGAAAGGTGATTCCCTGTAATGCAAGTAGGGAAGGGTACGTCCAAAAGGGACACACAGAGCCCCAGGGCACAGAAAGCATCCCCAGGCAGTGACTGCCAGGTGCTGCACCAAGAGCTGCTCATACCTGCTGCCAGGGGAGTCACAGGGCTGCAACCTGAACTGGCAGCCACAGGAAATGGGAAAGGAAATTATTACTATTTGTTTTAAACACCATCTGGAAATTCCTGCGAGGAGCCACAGTTATGAACCTATTGATATAGTGACTTTATTAACCAGACTGTACATGGCACACGAGGCCTCAGCAAGAACTGGTAGATTAAAACCAGGCTGAATCATCCCCTCTTTTGCCCCCAAAGGCAGAAGTTCATCTCTGCTCACTGCAACAGAGTGAACCCCAGCTTCTGATGAAAGGGATGGTCAGTCCAATTTGAAATAGCAGACACATTCCTACTCTGACTCGGATCATACACTTGTGTTCAGCAGGTGGAGTGGGATTCCCTTACTGGGATGGAAAATACACCTCACCTATGTATGTGCAAAAGTCAAGAGCAACTTGATCAAGCTTGGAGTCACCCTGCTTGGAGCAGGAGGTTGGATTAGGTGACTTCCAGAGGTCCTTTCCAACCTAAAGCCTTCTACAGCTCCTGTCTTGTGGACTTGACAAAGGTTCTTACCCCACTCCCACCTACTGTAATGCCAAATGTCCACTGAGTGCCACAGTGCACATTCAGGTTTGATTCTGCCTTTCCCCCACCCAAAAAGTGTCACCAGATGCTTGGAAATACCCCTGAAAATGTCATCTTTTGGAGAGATCTTCCTATTCACTAAGATGAACCAGCATCACTCATACTCAACTCTTACCATATACAAATCATGCTGGTGCACACAAAATAGTAATTAGAAAACTCCAAGATTAAGAATAAAAGTGAGAAATTGTTGTAGGATCAGCATCTGCAAACAGGTCTGTGGTTACTAAACATCACACAATGCTAAGTAAGAGTTTTACTAAAAGGAGCTACACTGCCAACAGGACTAATAGAAAGGTCAATGTAAGTAAAAATCATTCTTGTTTTATAAGGTAACTCTTATTATCAGAAAAGAATGGGGTAAATCCCAATTTTACCTGCCGAGGGGTCCTCTCGGATTTCCTCCTGCACCATTCCCAATCCGTGAGCTCAGGTTTATGGCTTTCCTCGTGGGACAACCTCCACTCTGGTCCTTCAGGGATGGCTGGTGGGTCACAGTGTGTGCCCTGCTCGCCCCTGCAGGCCCCTGCAGACGGGGGGCTGGGCCCAGGCCCACCACCACTCCCTCTGCCAGGCTCCAGGGCCTCGCAGTCAGAGCCCACCAGGCTGTGGCAGGACGTGGATTTACCATCACTGCTGTGGTGGGGGTGGTTCTCCTGGGATATTCTGTAGATTCCATAACCTTGCTGGAAGGACAGGTTGAACTCAAAACCCCTGCGTTTGGCTAAGCAGGAAGGGAGGAAACACCATATTGAGAGTCAAGACCGAGAAGAAAAATGAGATTACACACACAGTGAAAACAACACACTGAACGTGGAATAAATTATCCAACCACTGCTACAAACAGCCAACTTTCTGTCCATAAACAGAATGAACTGTTGAGAAGAAAGACTTCTAAGAAGAAACTGCCTTGTGGATGAACTGCATTCTATCCAGGGAAGTGCTAAAAGGGCACCAGTGGCAGCACAAGCCTTTCTGCACCTGGAGAGTGTGTTTAAAGCAACTGAAAGCCATGCACAGGGGATGGCTTCTCTCTAGGAGTCAGGAGCTCTTTCTCCCTAAACATGAAGCAGATGTCAGGAATTCATCCACTAATGTTAGAGGACTTTCACTCCAGAGAATGGGAAACAACTCCCACATCCTCAGAAATCCTTAGCCCTTAACTCATGCAGTTGAGTTCTGTAGGTCCCCTCCAACCGACCCATTCCATTTGTCCAGCTGTTTTTACATAAGACCCAGAGAAAAAGAGAGCTCTAGAAGGCAACCCTTCCACACTTACTTGTGAGATCTCCTGAAGGCCCTGCCCAGGGCTCCCTCCTGCAGGTGATGATGCAGCCACAGGGCAGGTGCAGCCAGTGCTCTGACAGGACGAACAGCGGGGTGGCCGTGGCAGCCAGCGCGCTCAGCAGGAAGCTCAGGGCCTCAAACACAAGGCTCTGCACACCAGTGATGTACTGGACAACCATCTGTACCTGCAAGGCAGAGCATTTGGAAATTGGTATCACTTCAGGCACATGAGAATCACTTCAGGCACTTCCAGGAATAAAGAGAACATCTCGCCATGAACACGACACAGCTGTAAGACACAGGTTGTCATTAGTGTTTGCTGAGCACAACGATTCTGGTTCCAAAGAGAGCAGAGCAAACACCCTCACTGCCCTTCCCCTCGCTCTGCAGTTCTCAGAAAAACCCTTGCTGAAGCTAAATATAGATGCTGAGCACTATTAAACAGCTCCCAACCCAAGCAGCTCAGCAGGGACTGCTGGCTCAGCCCCTCCTGTGGCACTGAGGACCCCCAGCTCAGGTGCTGAGTCTGTGCACAGCCCAGGGCAGGGCTAACACTGCCCCAGACCCGTGTCCCCTGCTCTCAGCAGGGCCCTTTCTACTGCACTGTTCCCAAATGCACATCCATGGACAGCACTCCTCCCACCCCCAGTACTACAGGGGTTACAAAGATAGAAACAAACCACATTTTCTTAACAAACTCCTGCTTTTTAACCCACCTGCCAAAGGAGGGGACCTAGAGCTGTGAGGAGGGGCCATTAGCTTGGCACAATTCCCAGACCCCAAAATGCTGAGCAGATGCCTCATCACAGAGCTGGGAACACCAAACTGGGACTTTATTCCCCCCTTTATTGGTGAATGATGTGACAACAGAGTATCAGACCTGTGAACAAAGTTCTGTCTAACCCACTGGACACCAGTTAAACTCACGCAGTGGCACAGACCTGCTGGAAAGGACTTTTGCTGGTACAACTATACTGTAAGAACAACTGCCATGGCCACCGCTCATCTGTTTCAATCCACGGCCCTCAGGCCACATCCCCCTGAAATGTGAGTGAACACTGGACAGTGAGCTGACAATTTACCATCATGGGGAGCCAGAGAACAGCTTTGGTCAGCGCAAGGATCAGCGAGAACCGTTTCTGGGCAAAGCCCACCGTGGAGCTCCTGCTCTGTGAGCTGCTCATGAGGGCACCGCTCCCGGCCACGCCCTTGCCCAAAACTGCCCCCGAGTCCTGGCAGTGCTGCAGGGCTTTATCCGCGGGGTCCAGCGGGGACAGCGCCGGGGCAGCCGCGGGTGTCCCGGGGGAGGTGAAGCCTCCAGGGACCTCCAGGTAGTCGGTGTGTGAGAGCTGCGGCCCAGCCGAGCACAGCAGCTGGTGAGTGAGGGGCACAGCCAGCACTGCCAGCAGGGACACGCACAGGGAGTACACAAGGAACACAAACAGGATGTAGGAACTGGCACAGTCGGTGAAGCAGCCCCAGGAGGTGGGGATGTACCGGCCCCAACCGCAGAGGGGCAGAATGCAGATCAGCAAACCCACAATCCAGGTGATGAGGATGGCCCATACCACGCTCACACGACGCTTGGAAGGGCTGCAGCTCAGCGTCTCAGCCGTGTTGATGGTGTAGAAGTTGTAAGAAACTAAAAGTGACCCTTTCAGGTTGCTAGAAATGCCCTGGAATAAATACATAAGTGCTGAGGTGGTGCACAGAGGCTGGGGGAGGCCTTCACTCGACCACTGCATGAGCATGAAAATAATCAGTGGCATGATGCTGATCAAATCATCTACTGCCAAGGAGGTCACAATCATCGACACTGTGGTTTTGTTCTGCATTTTCAGCAGGGAAACTACTGAATAAATGCTGCTCAGAAGGGCTGGGAATGCAATGGTAAGAGTCAAGCAGAACAGAAAGACATTCCAAGTCCTCTGCTCACTGGTTTTGTCCTCGATGCCAGAATTTTCACTGAAGAAGCTCGTCCCATTGAGTGACAAATTACCAGGCATCACTGACATTGTCCTTGGCATTCCTTTTTCTTTGCCTTCTCACTGACTCGGCAAGTTTTCACTGGCTGAAACCAGCACTGTCAGCTCCACATCACAAGTTTCTTTGTTTTCCTAGACACTCTTTTGTGGCATCCGATGAAGAAATACTCAGGTGAAAGCACCCCTGATAACCAGAACAAAAACCAGGCAACAATGAAGTACCAAAGGTGCTGGAAAAAATGCAACTCTTCAAAATCCTCTCCGTGCTGGAAGATGGTTCATTAAGGCTCTCCAGGTAAGCCGGAGCCGTTCCTCCTGACGACACCCACACCGTGCCTTGCTCCCGAGCCGGGCTGGACCGAGGGCACAGCACCAGGGCTGTTCGAGCTGTAGTAGCTCCTGGAGACTCATAGTAGGAGGAGAGGCTGCTGGACTCACCCTGCGCTGCCTGAGCTGCAGGAGGGAGGAGCCGGTGCAGGATGGAGAGCCGGGAGTGAGGATGTTCCCAGGTCCCTCCGGCTGGATCGGAGCCTGGAGCAGTCCCCGCCAAGCCCCACCTCCGAGCACACCGGAATCCAATGCAAATGCTGCGAGTTGATGTCAGCCGCGGATGTCATTCCCGTAAATCCCGAGGCTGCTCCCGGGCCGTGCAGCTCGGCTGGAATGCTGCTGGTGGTGCTCCGGGCTGGGCGAGGGCACAGGAGGGGCTGCAGGAGGGGCCACTCCGCTCCAGCATCAGCGATCCCCACGGAGCCAGGGACACCTTCCACTGCCGGCAGGGATCGTGTACAGGGAGCCCGGGGTCACTGCCCTGGGCACCTGGATCTGTAAACCCTAATTCCTCACGTGATTCCAACCGGAGCTGCATCAGAGGCTGGAAAATTGTCCTCCTGTACCCTCAGCCATCACACACGCCCTGGGTGTCCAACAGCCTCGATGGCAGAGAGCAACCACAAATCTTCTTACAAGTTCCCTCAGTACCTTCCTCCTGACACACCTCACTGCCCTTGCCTTATTCAATTCTCTGCCTCTCTGCAGCTTTTTGGACACTTTGGTGGGAACAGCCCATCCTGTGCCTCCCGTTTGTGTTTGGAATTAAACGTTCATCAGTGTTCTTGGAAGAAAGTCACTTTTATTTATTGCCTTGCCCATTTGAGGCAGGTGACGTATTACTCACTTCAGTTTATCTTCCCACACAGTGTATTTTATTATCTGAATTGCACCTTGCTACTGCTCTGTGGCAGTTTTACCATAACTTACAATATGGTGAGATGTTACTTCCTCTGGTTACAACAGTTACCAACAGAAGGTCTTGGAGTGAAGAATTCAAGCAGCTCCCCTTCTCATTTATTTTTTTTTAATATGACTGATAAATTCCAATGAAAAATGTACAGAAAGAGCATTTTCATCCCAAAACTAAAGGGAAAACTGAGTTGCAGTAAGAACCAAGCAACTCTACAAAGAGCAGCAGGACTGTCCCCACAGCTGTGCAGGCAGTGACCTGCACGTCCAGTGAGCTGTGGGCTCTGAAACTTCTCTTGTGGCTGGGGCAAATAAACCTGTCAGACTTCTGATCTCCAGGATGAGTTCACACTGTAATCTTTCCCCATTTACAGCAGCACTATTTTTCCATGGTAATCTCCCTCCCGAGGTTCCCTGCAATCCGTGCAGGGCCCCCCGGAGGGCGGGGAGGCCAGGCCGGGTCAGGGAGCCAGGAGGAAGGACAGTACTGCCCCCGGGGCACAGCCCGGAGGGTGCAGGACAGCAGGGACTGCTCTGCTCTCCTTGCTGGGGCTGGGGCAGGCAGGAACCTGCACAGTGAGGTCCTTCCTGCCTCTTCCCTTCCTTCTCTGGTGTGAATTCTTCTAAGGAATTATTCCCAAGAGAAAACACACTGGGGTGGAGGTCTCCCGTGTGGCCTCTTTTCACACAGCCCTGCACAATGACAGCTCCCCAGAGGATGGGTCAGCACTGCTGACAGTCTGGGACAGCATTTCTGAGACACTCCATGTAACAGCTCAGAAATGCTTATGAAGAGAATCAAGTAGTCTCCAGCCATAAAATACAGCCAACAAGTATGTTATTAAAATTGTATCCTATTTAGTGTATGAGTCACATTCTACTTTCTTACCTTGCACTAAGCTAAGCTTTGACTTGGAGCTTTGCTTCCCTTTGTCACTGAAGAGAGATGTGGTTATTACAGCAGCTGTGCAAATACTTCATTACAGACGGTAATGTAAGGTCTGTGCTAGGCTAAAATGTATCTCTGTATAAAATTCCTTTAAAGTCTTGGAATGTATTCCTCAATAGCATGTGAAATAAAATGTTTTAATTTTTTTCTAGAGAGTTTAAAAAAGATGTCTGAAGAAATGTCCATTTTTGGTCTATGGGACTCAGATATCACTTTCAGATACAAGATGGTTAAATTACAGCTGATTCTTCCATCTTGTTATTTGCCTCAGGAGAATTAAATCACTTGTGGCTTCCAATAAAAGCAGATACTCCTACACTGACCCATTTGGAGCAATTGGAGCAATGTACATCAGGACTAATTCCATTAGACCTAGATGATGATTTTCCTCCTGTGCTCATTAGGGCTGGGCTGCAGCAGCTCTGACTCTGGAATCACTCCTGGTTTGGGTGCTGCCCAGGGAATGGGGGGTTTGGGGGAAGAGGCAAAGCTGTGCAGGCTGTGCCACCACACCACTGAGGGACCCTGTACAGAGAGGGGCAACTGGAGAGCCCAACCTGCTGGGAAGAAAGAGCTATCCCTTTCTGAAGGGAGGCAGTGAAAAAGGAAGGCACATGCTCTGAGTGCCCCAGCTCTGACCCCGTGTGGAAGCAGCAGAAAATCAGCTGTATGTGAGGACTGTCTCCAAGTGACAGAATCAGGGATGCAGGAGCCACGTGTGGCACTGTGGGCACGTTCCACTGCCTGCCCACAGTGCCAGGGCTGGGCTGTCTCAGTCCTCCTTCGCCCTTCCCAGCCTTTCTTCCTCAGCACATTGTCTCCCACTCAGCTCCAAGGAAGGTGGGATGGGCAGACTGGGAAATTCAGCCCCAGGAGTTGGGATGAAAAGGAGTTCTAATGAGACTGAAAGCTCTCAACCCAAATGCTGCCACTAGAGGACTCAGAACTTGTGTTCTTAGTCTTAGTGCTGCTTTATTTTACCCAACTCTTTCCCACACAAATTAAGGATGGCTCACATTGCTATGAGTTCATCAGTGACAGTCTAGTTTGTGCTGGAAAAGCTGAGGAGATCAGGAGCTGTGGAGCAGCAACCCCTCCCAGGGTGTTTGCTTTGCAGAGCATGTATTGATGAAATATTCATGTGCTGAGGGGTGATTAGGATGCAATTCCTCACTTGGACTAAAATGCTGCTTCCTTTACGTTTACTGAGTTTCACAAACCAGCCTGATTTGGATGCTTACACAGTGTTTTCTGTATTTTTTTGATAAACTAAATTTAACTTCACTGCTATGTGTGCAAAATTGAATGCAAATAGCACACTTTCTTTAGCCCACAACTATTAACCCGAGAGATAACCTAGAAAACTTACCTCCAAGGCCAAGATAATGGCTACTTTCTGGGAGTGGAGTGCTGGTATTATTTTTAGTCACCTGGAACCGTTTTTGCCCAGGATGACATGCCCAGATGCTGCCAGATGCCTTGGGCCTGGAAAGCAGGTAAGATAGACCCTGTTCTGCAGATCCTAAGTTAGATCACCCCCTTTTCAGTATCCTGGCAAAAGCCTTTTCTACTGGAATTCCTGAAGTTGTTAGGATCACAGTCTAGAGAAAATTAAAACTTATTTGGTGCAAGCTGCTTTAGGTGGCAAAATAGGCCTTCTTTTCTCATAAATGACAGAAAACAAGCCTTAAGGGACAGAAAAGAGATTTATTTTCTAGAAAAAGGAGTGATGATTTTGTTTTATCAGTAGTTTTATTACAGAATTTGGATTATTCACTCCTGCACTCAACCAAGTACTTGACGACATCCAGTAGCAAAATGTTCCTAAACTGAATCAGTCTCTTATTATTTTAGTGTCTCATGTGTCACTGCCTCTGAATGACCAGCCAAAAGCCTTTTAAGTGAAGATATCACTGGTCTTGGAGCCCCTGGCAGTGTCCTCTGTGCCATCCTGCCTATTTGGAGGGGACAGTGCCCAGGTTCACATTTCTTTGACAATGCCCAGCTTCCCCTCAGTCCTCAGTTCCAATGAGAACACAGCAAAGATCTTTGGGCAGTGCTTTGGTGTCACTCCCTGACTATCTCTAACCTTCAACAATGGGCACCAGGAAATCTGGGAGCTGGTCAAATTTGGCCTGGCTCCTTGTTCAGTGAAAACAAGTCTTTAAAACATCCCCAAAGTCTGTTCAAACAGAAATTGTCACCTAATCCTTTTCTACAAGAAAACGTCTGCCAATGGCCGGATCCAGCCCATCCCATTTTCCCTACTGATAAGAGAACTCCTGACAGTAACTGTGTGATTTCACATCACCACTCTCTCGTGAAATATTAATGAAGGGTTTTTCATTCTCCTCAGATTCTCAGAACTGTCACACCCTTTATCTACTGCCACATTTGAACAGGGAGGACAGCGAAGGTCACTGTGACAGTGGGGGCTGCAAACTGCCCAAGCACAGGATGGATTTCAGCACTGAGCACTGCTAAGTTCACTGACAGATGAGAAGGAATCCTAAATGTCTGTCTGCTTACCTCCCATGGAAAAACTTGCAGTCCCTGTGGAATGGTAAGTGCACATCATGATCAGAGCAGCAATCCCTGTGGTGTTTAATGCAAGTGCAGCACCACAGTCAGGAGCAGGCAGTAAATACTGCTCTGTATAAATGTTATGAGGACATTCAAGAGAAACAAGACATTCAAGTAGAAAAATAGAAACAAAACAGCTATGCCAGATTCCAGTGGAAATGCCATCATAATCTGAAAAAATCGAAGCAGGTGCCTTTTCAAAGGCAGAGCAACTGCCCGTGTTTTCCCCACGCAACTGGAAGCTGCAAAACAAGTT